TGAAGTTACAGGAAAGAGCTGGCAGGTTCTACATCTGATTTAAAAAGCTCATTTCAAGCAATTTCCATGTGGTTGAATGAGAACAAAAGAAAAGACCAGCTGGATCAGGCCAAAGGGTTTTAAGTCCAGCGTCCTTTTCCCACAATGGCCAAACAGGTGCATTATACATGAGCATAATGCCATTCTCCCACTCATGAACCCCAGAAGCTGCTATTCATAGGGGAGTTGCTCCAGCCCCTTGATAATTTTTGTTGGCCTTTTCTACACCTTTTGCAGTTCTACAACTTCAGTTTGTGGGTACAGTGACCAGAACTGAACATAGTATTCCCAATATGGCTGCACCATAGATTTGCATAGAGGTACCGCTAGCGGAGAGGTAGTACCTCTGGTGAGGGGACAAATTGTGATCCTTCTGCTGGGGTAGTTTGTCTATCTTTGGTCCCCACCCTGCATTCAGCTCTCACCTGTTGCTCCTAGAAGCTGTCAGCATGCAACAGTGGCTACACCGCCGGGAAATGGCTTTAACTGGGCAGTTAAAAGCAGGTGTCAGCAACCTAAGGCCCATGGGCTGGAAGCGGCCTGCGGAGGTTGTTTGACCAGCCCTCGAGCCGCCCCCGAACCAAGCTGCCTGCTTGGTGCGCTGTGCTAAACCGGTGCAGCGCAGTGCGGGGACTCGCTTCAGTGGCGCTGGAAATCATGTCTGTGCAGATGCAGATGCTGGAAATCGCGGGTGCGCACGCTCACGCATGATCCGGCACATGAAGGGATCTCCGCAGGACCGATCCGGCCCAGGCAAAATAAACTTTGCTGACCCCTGGCTAAAATAGGTGAGGGTAGCCAATGTTGGAAAAAACACCCTGGGGGTGCCTGCAAGCCCCCGAAACTCTGAGTGTCCTCTGATGCTGCAGATGTGATTTACATCAATCTCATCTGCAGCATCGGAGGAATGAAATTGCTAACAGCCAACGGGTCTCAAACCCTTGGTGAGTTAGGGACTCGCCTCACAAGTGAAGACAGGCTCTGTTGGACTGAGTGGATGAGACCAATGGTCAAGAGTGTGGTTTCTGCACATGCTGTAAGAGGGAAGAGAGGGGCAAACAGGGCTTGTCAACCTGGGAAGGTAGCCTATCTAGGAGAAGAAAAACTCTGATCCTAAACCTCCACTGCCTTGTGGGATATCTACAGAAGAAGAAAAGGCTAAGGAGTAAACCCTACACAAATCCAGAGTGGAGTCCCTAGACAGTTGGATGGCAGCTTGTGCCACTCCTTCCAGCAAGTTCTGCAGTCAAGCTGGTGCCAAAAGTATTGCTCTGCTTTCTTTTAGACCACATCAGCATGGCCAAGAGGGAGGTCCGCTCGCCTAGACAGCTCGGGACCTCCATTTACACTGTCCAGGCTTGCACCCTGGGAAGGTCACTTCAATGCTGCTAACACAGCAGTTTGACTTCACTGCCCGAGGCACACTCCATTGTCTCTTGAGGCAGAGGGATGCCAACACCTCTGATGTTAGTAGTTTTGTTTTTGGTTCCTTTCCTGATGATTCCCAGAAGGGAATTTGCTCTTTTCACAGCAGCCACACATCCAGCTATCAGCTGATTATACCAACCCAGTCAGGTCAAATCCTGCTTATTGACCCACCTTGTGACTCAGGTGTGGGTTTCAGAGCTTCACAGCAAAGGCTAACATCCTTGATGAAAGAGGATGTGGAAAGACATTTCCTGCCAATGTACCCAACCTCACCCAGTTACAATTTCCCAATCTATTTCTTCTCACCGAAAGTATATTTGCTGCAACAGGTTTGTGGTGTGTTTCCCAAGTTCCTCAGATGAGAGAGGATTTTTGTACTTGTTTATACAGAATTGTCTACTTCCTCTTCTTGGTTCTTCTTCTTCTTCTTCTTCTTCTTCTTCTTCTTCTTCTTCTTCTTCTTCTTCTTCTTCTCCTCCTCCTCCTCCTCCTCCTCCTCCTCCACCACCACCACCACCTCCAGATCAGCCACCCCCTTAACCTGGGAGATAGCAGGTTGGAAAGAACCTTAACCCAGGGTGGAGCTTCAGAGAGCATAGCTTCAGCAAGGAATCACTTAGCAAGGAACTGCTCAGGTTGATTTTGCAAGCTTTTATAGTAGGCAGCCCCACAGGATTGGCTCTCCAGGATCACCTGGTTTTCACCAACAACTGGTATTTCAGAAGCATTGCTGGCTCTGACCATGGAGGCTGAGCATAGCTATAATGGCTAGTAGCCTCCGATAGCCATTTCCTCCACTAATTTGTCTAAACGTATTCGAAAGCCAACTAAGTTGGTGGCCATCACTGACTCCTGTAGGTTCAGTTCAGTTTTGTGGGGTGGACTCCATCCTGATGGCCTCAGAAGGCCCCTTGTTTGTATCATGTATTCAGATGGCCACCTTCCAGAGCAATCAATGCAGTGGATTAAGGATATAAAGAAGCCCAGATAAAAGGTATCCAAAATCAAGATGTTGAGTCCCAATTAGGCAATTGTATGCATACGAGGTTGCACCAACCAGAGTGGTCAGATTACATTTGCTGCGTAGAACAAGGATCCATTTGTTCCAGTGCAAAGGGCAAATATTTCCCATGATTTTCAACAGCCAGCCATTATACTTCTTTCTCTGTTAATTATTTCCTTCTCCCACTCCATGCCAAAGCACTTCAATGGCAACCCATACAGAAAGCCAAGCAGTCCATGTATAGGACAGGAAGGAGGTGGGTGCCTGGGATGTATGTATGTGTAGGCGTTAAGGATGTGCACATCCCCCTTGACCCAACCTGAGTTGACTTGGGGAACACCCAACCTGGTCCATGGGGCAGAGCTAATGCTGAACTGGGTTTTGTAAGCCCTTATTAAATGTATGAGATGCTGAATCACCTTCCACCGTCAGCCAAGAGCAGGAGGCTTCCATCCTGTTGGTGTCTGCTTCCCGTGCACATTATCTGAGGGAAACAAGCTGGCAAAGCAGACTCCTGCGGCTTTTCTGCCCCATACTCCATCCCCTGACAGCCCTGGACCATTCTGTGCTTCCCAGCCCAATGCAATAAAGCACACCTGTTGTTGTTGGGGACATCTGTTACTTGGTCAGAACAGCAGCAGCTGCTGGGGAACCCATCAAAAGTACAGTCCACAGGCTTATAAATCACACAGGCTTATAGGGATGTATTTCCTCACCTTAGCTTTGCACAGGCATAGAAATCAAGTCCTGTAGCAAACAAGAGGCTACAGTTAGGTAACCAGGGGCATCAACTTGGGTCTCAGGTTATGGACGCCCAGCGCACATGAAGTGATGTCATGATGTCACAGGCTCTGAGGCCTCAGATGTGACTTCCAGTGCTTCATAGGGCACCAGAAATTGCATGAGAGGCCTTGCAGTGTGGGTGCTGAGCACCCACAACAAATTTTTGTGGGTGCCTGGGCCCCCAGGGCCCCCTATAGTTGGAACCCCTGTAGGTAACGAAGCAATAATTTTATCAGAAGAGCAAAAGTAACACCACAGGCATGGGCTGGAGGAAGAGCAAGGCCGTAGATTCAACTGTCAGTGTCAGCAAATTCCTTCACACTTCTTCACAGACATCCTAGCTCTTTTACAGCATCCTTTCCTTTATTATTCTCTTCACATTTACTTTTACTGAATATGCCTCTTAGGTTATCTATCAATATATAGGCATATCAATAAGTTTTTCATCACGGGAACATGCTGGCAAAGCAGACCCCTGCAGTTTTCCCGTCCAGTACGACATCCCCTCACAGGCCATGGCCTCCTGCAATTTACACTGTCCACAGTTAACCATGGCTTATTACTGCTTTACCACAGATTCTTGTTTATAAAAAGTGTTGTTTACATAGTCACACTGAGCACAGGTACAAGCTGACTCTACATATGGATAGATGTCGTTTGAAAGAGTATACACTTGTTGATTTGTGCAGTTCATTTGCTGCGTCCATGGGTACATACACTGCACACTCATTAAGCGTTTCATGTGAATAACTGTGTGAGTGTACAGCTCAGCTGTTTGTGTACACAGGTTCACAGATTGTACATTTGTTGAAAGTAACACATGAACCTTTGTTCCAGTTATTGAGTTGCACCATACTTCTGCTGGTGGTGCAATCTGGTTTGAAGGGCATAACAAAAGCAGCCAAACCAACCTCTGTGAATTATAGAAGTGAGCAGAATAAAAAAAATGCTGTATTTTCAAATTTTTAATCAGCAACAATCCACGAATCATAGTTGAAGTCTTAGAAAAAGGACAGCATCAGCACAGCACTTTAAGAAAGGAAAATATTCAGATGAAATACAAAAACAAATGTTCAAAAGCATACAGTGATGGGACTTGATGGAGATCACCAGGAATCACAATCCAGGTTGGCACCACCACCAAGAAGGCCCTGAGTCATGTTACTGCCTGCTGCACCTCTGGTCCATGCACATTACCAAAATCCCTAAGGAATTAGAAATTAGAAATATCATTTAAAACCACACATACTTTCCCTCCATAGCACAAACAGTGTATTAATATGTAGATTGGTTTTGAACATACCCTTGTCAGATCTTGAACAATACCATAATATTAAAAACTCTGTAGACATATTATTCTGTTCCAGTACAGTCAAATGATCTGGGGGACACCACAATAATTAATGTGTTATCACTGCTCCATTGTAGGCTTTTTATTCTCCCAAAGTCTATCAGTAGTTTTTGCCATGCTGTAATGAGGTCTACTTTGAGTGGGAGATTTAAGGAAAGAAAAAATATTGGGGGGAAGCATCATCATCCTAACTGCTGCCATCTTTAGCAAGCGTTAGGTTTTTCTTTGAGCTGATCTTTCCTGTAATGTCTGGACTCCTGTCATTAAATTATCATGATGGCATTTTGCAAGCTTTTCTAAATCTTGCATTATTTATATACCCAAATGCTTGTTAGGGGAATCTTTTTCGTAGGCCATTTAGAGCAACTTGTCATTCTGTCCACATTTCTATAAACGATGCCTTTTATTTTTAAAAAGAAGATAAAGAATTGCTGCAAGCTCAATGTGCTAGAGCATGCACTTGACACTGAAAAGGCCCCAGATTCTATCCACGGTCAGGAACAGCTCAAAATATTTCACGGAGGACAAGGTCACAAAGATATACACCCCGTTCCACATACTGAATTCAGTCAGATTGACAGCTGAATCTCCCTTCAGCACTGCCAACAGAATATTTTCCTCCACTACATCTTGGGGCAAGAGGTTAGCTAAGACAACACCGAGGGAGATAGTTTAGGGGGCTCAGTGGGAATGGTTTGTCTCTGTTTGGGGGGCAGGAGCTGCTGCTTCCACCCCACTCCCCAGCGTTCATAATCTGCCACCATTCACCACTTTAGGCAGGTGTCTAGTGGTATATAGGATAGCCTTTCCTTGGGATCTGCAAGTTGGGCTGCATATGCACAGCTATAAAAAATGATCTGAAAATGATCTTAAAAAACCCGTATTATAGTTCAAAATGTAAAATCCCGATTTCAGTTCTACAGCACCATCTGGTGTCACAGTGTTATAATACATTTAAAACACCTTTAATGAATGTAGCGGAGTCCTAGGTCGGAGAAAGACTTCCATCTGAAATCTTGCCACCAGCATTCAACCTTTGCAAACCTAGGACTTACTTTTAGCCCAAACACACAGGGGTGGGGGTGGGGGTGGGGAGCACATTTTAAACTTTTAGCACCTATTTGTATGATGCTTGTGGAGACAAACAGTAGGGCCAGTACTGAGTTAGAGGGGCCCTTGGTGTGATTCAGCTCCCTATATGTGATGGCTTGAGAATACTCTTCGCAAGAAATGCTTCTGCTCACTCAGAGATACATAGATACAGCTTTTTTTTACATATGTACAAGCAGCACACATAGCTACACGTCCGAATCCTGTGAGTCAGATTCCCGGAGTGATTTACGTCCGCCCCTTTTCCAGCAGAAGAGGCGCAGCATTCTCAACTGATGTCTCTGCCCTCTCCGCTTTAACCCTCTCCGTTCCTGAGCAGATGGAACTGACACTGCATCGCTATCCGTGCCAGAACTTCCTGTGCGGGGTTGAGGCTCTGCTCCAGCATCTGAGAGCCTTTCCTCCTCCTGGCTTTCCCCCCTTTCCTGCACTGGCTCTTCCTGCCCCCCTTCGTCTGCTCGTCTCTCCTCCTCCCCTTCGTACTCCGTCAATACCATGACACTATAGCTGTCTGGTCAATCTACTGGCTGGTGCCCAGTGTCATTTTTTAAAGCACATTCAGGTTGCTTGCATTCACAGTTGGCTCTGGATTTATAATAGTGCTTAAAAAACCAACAACTTAGAGATGGAAAGAAGATAATGTACCTACCAGAGAAGAATGGCAGATCAAGTTGATGGATTACGCTGAAATGGCTAAAAATTACCGGTAGAATCAGAAATCAGGAAGACCAAAATTTTTAATAAGGAATGGGGGAAATTTATACCTTATCATAAAGACCATTGTAAACGGTTAATCATTAGTAGGATTGGAATATCACTTGTAGTTTAATGGTGAATTTTGAATACAATGGAGAGATAAAAGATTTGGATTATCATAAAAGATGCAGGAAGAAATGATTGACAGTAGGACCCACAAAGAGGAGGGAAGGCCAAGAGATTCCTTGGAATCTAGTTTTTATGCTGTATATTGGATATGTGACTGTAAAATTATAATCTGAAAAACCAAATGAATAAATTTAATAATAATGATAACAAACAGCAATTTAGAATGTGGAGGACATTACAGAGGCAACAATGAATGGGGCATAAAGGAGGACCTTGCAGGGGCAATAATTAATGGGTCATCCCCACCCCTATTCAGAACAGGAGATCCTCAAAGTCAGAAGCTCTACCCTTAACCTCTAGGATGTACTTCCTCCTTCTCGCTTCTCCTCTGACTTTTTAAAGCTGATAAGAAGTCACAAGAGTGACCTCTCTGCCTTCAGTGTTTGCCCTTGTTGTGCCAAGCTGTTGGCTGGCTTCCTTTTGTTTGCAGAATGAGGAAAGGATTGTGGGAGAAAGAGGAGAAACCACAATCCTGTGTTATTTCTGTGGGTGTTATAAAAAACAAACAAACCCTCCAGCAACATGGTACATCAGACTCCTATATTAGTGACGGATAAGGCAGGAGAAAAACAGAAAGCAAATTCTACAATTCGGAGCAGCTGTTCCCCAGAACGGAAAAGCAGCTCAAGATATTTGGGTGAGTTCCTTGGTCTTTATCCTGCTTTGTCTCTAGCTAGAGTCCTTCTTCAACTCTATGCCTATAAACTCTCCAATGTATTTAGTAACCCCAGTATCTGTCTTGCAATGTACAACAGGTGCTGGTATATATTAGGAGTTGGCGCAGAAATTTACAGTGGTACCTTGGTTTGTGAACTTAATCCATTCCAGAAGTCCGTTCTTAAACTAAAGCATTCTTAAACCAAGGCGGGGGACTCAATTTACAAATGGAACAGATTCAACAGGAAGTGAAACATGTTCTTATTCCAAGACAAAGTTCACAAACCAAAACACCTACTTCTAGGTTTGCAGTGTTCTTAATCCACGTTGTTCATAAACTAAGCTGTTCTTAAACCAAGGTACCACTGTACTCTGTGTCTTTTTTTTAAAAAAATTGATTGGTATTTGAATCACTCTGTGCTTTTTATGCTTTGATATACGCTCTGGGTTCTGAGTCATTCTGTATAAACGAATTTCTGTTGTCCCATTCGTTATAATGGGGAATCTAGACATAGCTAGAACGCCTCTCCCCCTTTTAGCCAAAATGACTCTTGTTTGCAGACACAGGAGCTACCTTGATCTATAAATTTTAAAATCTTCTGTCAGAACTGGATGCAATTAGCAGGCATGACCACCCCGTCAGAGGGGATGGAACCTGGGAAATTTCAGAATGATAGCTGTAGCCTTTACCATTTTGGGGTGGGTTGTTGTTGTTTAGTTGTTTAGTCATGTCTGACTCTTCATGACCCCATGGACCAGAGCACTCCAGGCACTCCTGTCTTCCACTGCTTCCCGCAGTTTAGTCAAATTCATGTTGGTAGTTTTGAGAACACTGTCCAACCATCTCGTCCTCTGTCGTCCCCTTCTCCTTGTGCTCTCCATCTTTCCCAACATCAGGGTCTTTTCCAGGGAGTCTTCTCTTCTCATGAGGTGGCCAAAGTATTGGAGCCTCAGCTTCAAGATTTGTCCTTCCAGATTGGCTTCACTATTATCAGATAATGGAGGCATACAATTTGGATAAGAAAATTGGCTTCCAGGTGTAAAAATCAAAACTAGAAACAGAATTGTTAGAACCCAAAACTAAGAATTTGTCAAGAATGTATAACTTGCTGTTGAAATGGAATACTCAGGATGAAACGGTGAAATCTGCTATGATTAAATGGGCACAAGATGTTGGACATAATATTATGTTTGCTGACTGGGAACAGTTATGGACCACAGGTATGAAGTTTATGGCATGTAATGCCCTAAGAGAGAATATTATGAAAATGATATACAGGTGGTACATGACCCCAGTCAAGCTTGCAAAAATCTATCATTTGCCCGATAATAAATGTTGGAAATGTAAAGAAACCGAAGGTACATTCTTTCACCTTTGGTGGACGTGCCCAAGGATTAAGGCTTTCTGGGAAATGATATATAATGAACTGAAAAAGGTATTTAAATATACCTTCTTGAAGAAACCAGAGGCCTTTCTCCTGGGCATAGTCGGCCAATTGGTGTCAAAGAAGGATAGAACTTTTTTTATGTACGCCACAACAGCAGCAAGAATACTCATTGCAAAGTATTGGAAGACACAAGATTTACCCACTTTGGAAGAATGGCAGATGAAGCTGATGGACTATATGGAACTGGCAGAAATGACTGGCAGAATCCGAGACCAGGGAGAAGAGTCGGTGGAAGAAGAGTGGAAGAAATTCAAAGATTATCTACAGAAATATTGTAAAATTAATGAATGTTAGAATGATGTTGGATAGAAATTAAGTGGTTTCCAGCTGTAATGCTTTAAGGGATATGAAAAAAGGGTTATAAATAGGTAAAAATCTAATGCTATTATTTTTAAGATCAAGGATTAGGATAATTAAAGAGGGTAAGGATTTGCTGAACCAACAGATTGAAGTGGAATACAAAAAAGGGAGGTATGAGGAGGTCTGGGAAACAAGCTAAAGGAAAATAAGTAATGGAAAATTTGTGTGTTTTTAACCATTTTTATTTTGTATTTTTGTTATTTTTTTCACTTTTATTGTACTATTTTAAAAAATCTTAATAAATATCTTATATATATAAAAAAGATTTGTCCTTCCAGTGAGCACTCAGGGCTGATTTCCTTAAGAATGGATAGGTTTGATCTTCTTGCAGTGGGTGGGTACAATAGGATAAAAAAAAGGAGGGGGAGAATCACTGGCGCTAAACATGATATTTAGATAAACAGTTCATTGAATGTTGATATCATTACAGATACACCAGTCTTGTTGTCTCTTCTGTGATCCTTCCCCATCAACATGCAGGAACTCCTGGGATTTTTGCTCTTCTCAGTTTTAATACAGACAGGTCAGTAGAGCCTGGTAAGCACTCCTGTGGGAAATGTAGCTTCATTGGAAGGAGTAAATTATTTTCCATTCCCTGGCAGATAGTTGAAGAGCTTTCCAAAACAGACTTAAACTGGGTCAGACAGGCACATCTATCAATTTAGGTTCCTCTCAGTTTCTCACTTTTCCCATCTTAAATTGAATTCTACACATTTCCACATCCACCAGCAATTGTAATTATTTTTAATAAGTCTTCAAGGATATGCATTAGCATTTGGTATGAAATATGCTTTGATGTGCATTTTTTCCAAAGCAAGCACCCTACTGTAATGCATTTTTGTATGTTCTTTTCAGTGCATTTTTAATACACACTTAATGTGCACCTTTACATTCAGTACTTGGCCAGAGAGCTGCATTACAAAATTCAGACAAGTGCAGATTTCAGCAGATGGTGATGTTTCAGTTCACAAGTCGTTTCAGAAAGTGCCAATTAGGGAGGTCCGTTTTGAGATGTGAACTGAATTGGTTGTCTCCCCAATCCCTATGCTGACATCATATTCCATTCTGAATATGTAGTCCATCCCTTTTGCTAGAGAGCTATGGGAAGTGCAGTTCTGCAAAGGGAGTTAGATTTCTAAGAGAAAGAATTCTCAGCAACCCCACCAAACTCCTTTCCTAAGATTTTGGGTTGGAAGCCACAGAACTTTAACTGTTTATCATTTTTGGTACATTGTTTTTTATTTATTTATTGAAACAGTTTGTATACTGCTTAGCTGCAATAATCTCTAAGCTGTTTAAAAAGATGCAATACAAACAATTAAAAAATCAGTTTAAACTAGAAGATCAAACTTCAACTAAAAAACCTGCTGTAACAACAACAACAAGTTTTCAATAGGCACCAGAAGTTCAGCAGGGAGAGAGCCTCTCTGACCTCCGCCGAAAGGGGTTTCCATAAAATTAGGTCCTTGAAATCCAGTCCTCTGTTCCTGGTGGATCTGAGCCATGCATATGAGCCATAGGGAACCACTAACAGTTCCTCCCCTGAAGATTTAAGTGATCAGGCAGGAATATGGGGAATTAGGCAGTCCTTGAGGTCTCCTGGGGTGGATCTACACAAAGGAAAAAACCACTATAAATAAGTCAGAAATTAAATTGTTGTAACAAAACAAAAGAAAAAACCCCATGTAAAAATAGCATAGAAAAATTGTTTGCTCTCTGGTGCCATCTGGTGTTGCATGTTTATAATGCATTCAAAGCATTGTTTTTTGACTAATGTAGCTGAGTCTCTAGACCAGTGATAGCCAAATTTGGCCCTCCAGCTGTTTTGAGACTACAACTCCCACCATCCCTAGCTAACAGGACCAGTGGCCAGGGAGGATGAGAATTGTAGTCCCAAAACAGCTGGAGGGCCAAGTTTGGCCATCACTGCTCTAGACCCAAATTGTTACGGTGCTTGTAAAGGAACACAATAACCTTGAAGCTGACCCAAGAGCATAAGGACAGCCCCTGCTTACTTTTCAGCGCCGGAGTTATGTGCTGGTGATAGTCTGCCCCACACCTGTGGTCACACCTTGCCTTGTGAATGCATGAAGGTTCATGTTGCTGAAGGAAGTAATCCAGAGGCATGGCAGAACTGTGCAAATGGATATGACACTGTGTCGCTTTCTCTCCACCAGGCACTTCTCTGGAATGTGAAGTCTGCAGTGGCCTCGGCAGCAGCTGTGTTGGCAGGATGGAGAACTGTGACGCTGGCCAAGACACCTGTGTCATTGCCTACACGGAAACCTCATTAGGTTGGTCGTCTGAGACAGACAAGTCCGGAAATGCTTCCTTGCAGTGAGGATGGGCAGGGGAAGTTGTGCTCCCAGATCTCTACAGCCTCTACTAAGCCTACAGCTCAAATGAGAAGCAAGAGCTTTGCACACTTACAGCAAAGTGAGGACTTAATTTGCTCTTTCAGAACAAGAGTTTGACAGCAATCAGCCTCATGCCTTTGGCATGACAGAGCCAGGGACAGAACACTCAACTAGCATGACTCCTAATGGTTGGCAAGAGAAAGAGAAGGGATGCTTGTGTATGCCTATATACATAAAAATATGAGGCTGTTGTCACGCTGCAGTTTGCTGGGAGGGGAGGAAGAGGGGAGGAAGAGGGACAAGGCAAGCTGGGAGGGGAGGGACTTGGAGTGAGTTGTGGGGCAGATAGGCATGGGTGGGGTAAAAATGGAACTGGGGTTTAAACAGGTGTGGCGGAAAGGTGGTGTCAGGATGCTGTCAGCAGCCCCTGGCTGGTTGCCCAGGAAAGTATAAAGACAAGGAAAAGTTTCCTTCAGTCCTTTTTTATTTCAAACTTTACAGAGAGAGGCTGTAGAACCCAGCCTTTTGGATAATGGTGTTGTCCCAAGTGAATCTCCACCCCCCCTGTCTCTCCCACTTCCTCATTCGTCACTTCTACGGGTGCTGCTAAGTGCCCTCTGTCTTCGAGTTCTTTGCTCTCCTACTTTCAAGGCTCTCTGGGTTCTGGGAGATGGTGGGTCTGGAATGCTTTCTAGTGACAATATGTCAACCAGCTGCTGCTTTGGCTCTGCCTGCCCCTTCTCTCCCAGTATTTCCCAACTTTTCCCTGCATCTGCCTCTGAGCTCTGACCTCCGCAGACCACTGTTTGTAAATCTAGACTGTCTTTCTTTTTCTCCTCCTTGGAAGGGTCAGGATGGGGAGGCAATCTCCACTATTCCTCCTCCTCTGCCCGGTCCCTGACAGGTGGCTATCAAAGAGGTAGGTGAGGTTGATGAGCAGCTCAAGCAGGGGCAGCAGTCTTGAGTGTGTGTACAAGTGTAAAAATTGTGATACCGTACCAATATTCATATCTTGAAAGAAGAAAAAGAAGAACAAGAAAAAGAATGGCGCCAATAAGCTTTGAATCTGGATGATCCTGTGCTGCCGAAACACCTGTAGGAACAACCCAGACGATTTTTCTCCCAGAGGAATTTCGACCCAGCAATACAGAGCTAATTTGCACAGGTATAGGGTGAGAATAGTTGGTGTCTGCAGCTTTTTAACCAAATCCCATTTTTTCCCCTGTGCAGGTGAAGTGACAACACAGTCAGTCTCAAAGAGCTGTGCATCCTCAGGTGTCTGCAACAGCCCCCCAACGTACATGAATTTTGGGCAGGGGAAATACATTCGCTCCCACATCACCTGTTGCGTGGGAGATGCTTGCAGGGCAGTATCTCCTCAATGTATGTATCTGTGAGTTGCCAGTGATCATACAATCTGGAAAGTTCTTCTGTCCCTTTAAAACAGATGTGGGGAACTGGACGTGACCAGTGGGCCATATTCTTATCTCCCCTACCCTGCTGTGGGCCAAATAATTACAAATAATTATGGCCAGACTTATGGTGTTGTCCACAGGGGCATCCTTGGGGGAAGTTATCAGTGCCCACGTGGCCCAGTGGTGTAGTGTGGGGCTGGGAGGGGGTTGTGGCCCCAGACGCATTTTGGGAGGGGGCATGACCTATGCTCCTATGTTGTCTGGAGATGTATCTCAGAAGTAGAGCAATTGCTTTGCATGCAAAAGGTTCTAGGTTTGATCCCTGACATTTCCAGGTAAATTTGGGAATGTTTCTTGCCTGAAACCCTGGATAGCAACTGACTGGCAATAGAGACATTATGAAGCTAGATAGACCAATAGCCTGATTCGGTTTAACATAGCTTCCTATGGTCTTCCGTGTTTATGTGTTATGCTGGGGGGAAAACAAGCAGCTAATAAAACTCTTCTAAAATTCACAATATTTCTGCACAGGGCTGCACCATCAGAATTCTTGAAGCCATGTTCAATACTTTTGTTTTTAATTGATTTTTATTAAGTTTTCAAAGATTTTAACAAATCTACTTCACAGGCAACGTGCCATTCTCTTAGATTTTTCTTTTTGACCTCCCATCCTTCCGTTCCTGATGTTTTTGTTCCTATTCTTGGTTGCTGCCTTATACTTGTTACCAACCCCCCCATACCATTTTACCGGCAAAAATTTTTTACCGTTTTTTTGTTTTATTTTTCTGCCACTCATATCTCGAATCCTGCTTGTGACTTCATATCACTATAATACTTTGTCAGATCTTCAAAAATAAAAATAAAAAAGCACCTCCAGTTTTCCATAGGAAGTTCATCTTTGTTTTACAGTCACAATAGCCAGTACTTATTGGCAAAACCTATTGGTGTTTCGCAACTTTCTGACTAGCTGCAGGACCTTAGCCAGACCTAGCAGAGTAAACGCAGAGTTCATGAAAGCAATTGGCAACTTGGCTGCAGACAGGATGGACGAAACAAGAACCAGGAACTTGTAGTTATAGCTGTTTATTATATACAGTGGACTAATTACAGGAACAGAACAGAACACAGATCTTTGACTAACTCTCTCATACATGACTCTCAACACTCTCAACTGAAACTCGTACTAACACATTCCAGTTAGTAGGCCATTAATCATTATTCCCGTGAGAGAGCTTGACCAATCATAGAGCTGTCTCCATGCCTCTGTATCGCCAGGCAGACTTATTCCTTCACATTGCCTTGGCTGTCAGCCAAACCTTAATTGACTCTGTGTGAGTAGCTGCATGTATTCAGATTCCCAACAGTACTTATAGATGTTTTCTGAATGTCTTCATGGGCAGCCCCATATGTTTGTAACTTCCTGTGTTTGTAACTTCCTACATTCGTAACTTTAAAATCCAGCAAGAAAATTAGATGGTGAGAATTGGAAGCATCCACACATGTGTGCTGCCTGGAGCGGGGAACAGAGGGAGTAGCTGAATTGTGTCAGCTGCCAACTTTGCTTTGCCTAACAAGCTGACCATTTACCATTTCCCTCTCTATATGGTTTCAGTGCCACCAGCATTGGACAAACCTAATGGCAAGCAGTGCCCAGGCTGCTACTCTTTGTTACCCGGTGGTTGTGAAACAGAGACAGTGGATTGCATTGGAACCGAGGACTACTGCCTTGAATTGGAGGAGAAAGTCACATATGGTAATTCTGAATTGCGGGTCTGCGAGTGGAGATTAGCTGGAGCCCCTGGTCAAACTGCTTCAATGGTTACCTGCTAGCTCTGTCTGTAAAGCATAAGACTCTTAATCTTAGGGTTGTGGGTTCGAGCCCCATGTTGGGCAAAAGATTCCTGCATTGCAGGGGATGACCCTTCTGGCCTCTTCCAACTCTACGATTCTAAGGCAATTATTTGAGGTCAACTACAAAGAGCAACAGGGATGCGGGTGGCACTGTGGGTAAAACCTCAGCGCCTAGGACTTGCCGATCGTCAGGTCGGCGGTTCGAATCCCCACGGCGGGGTGCGCTCCTGTTGCTCGGTCCCAGCGCCTGCCAACCTAGCAGTTCGAAAGCACCCCCGGGTGCAAGTAGATAAATAGGGACCGCTTACTAGTGGGAAGGTAAATGGTGTTTCCGTGTGCTGTGCAGGCTCGCCAGATGCAGCTTGTCACGCTGGCCACGTAACCCGGAAGTGTCTTTGGACAGCGCTGGCCCCCGGCCTCTTAAGTGAGATGGGCGCACAACCCTAGAGTCGGACATGACTGGCCCGTATGGGCGGGGGTACCTTTACCTTTACCTTACAAAGAGCAACAAAGGCCCTTATGGCACCTTCAAGCCTGACAAATTTGTTATGGCATCAGCTTGCATGGACCACAGACCTCTTCATCAGATGCCCGATGTGTTATCTTTCGTTGCAACTACACATATCTGCAGTTGGAGCGGTTTGGAAATGCAATGACATCAAAAGGAAAGGCAATGACCTTATTAAAAGTGACCATTCCATGCCATGAAACAGACATGGAGTGGAAATCGTTCATCTGCTCATCCCAAATTTCTGGGCAGGAATGGGGATCTTGTGTACCTCCTGGTGTTAAGAACATATAAGAAGAGGCGCTGCTGAATCAGGCCAAATGCTCATCTACTCCAGCATCCTGTTCTCACAGCAGCCAACCAGATGCCTGCAGAAGACCCACAAGAGGGACATAAGTAGAACAGCACTCTCCCTGATTCCCAGCAAATGGTTTTCAAAGGGCTACTGTCTCCAACAGTGGAGGTAGAACATAGCCTTTGTGGCTAGTCACTGCATATAGCCTTGTCCTCCATGAATTTGTCTAATCCTCTTTTAAAGCCATCCAATTTGTGGGCCGTCACAGCCTCTTGTGGGAACAAATTCCATAGTTTAACTAAGCACAGTACTTCTTCTTCTTTTGTCCACAAAGTTGGACCACACTTCCCATCATCCCTGACCATTGGCCATGTTGGCTGGGGCTAATGAAAGTTGGGGTCCAGCAACACCTGGAGGGCCACAGACTCTCAGGTCCTGGGCTGGTGTTTTCTATTCTTTCATCCCTTGGCTGGTTTAGGATACATTTCCTTGTATATCTAGTCTATTGGGTTTTCAACAAGGCCTCCGTTGACATGGATAGGGAATAGCTACCATTGTGAGGCCAGGTTACTTCTCTCTCCCACTCTCTGTCTAGCTCTTTCTCCTGACCCTGAACTTTTTGTTTCCAGGTAAATTCACTTTCAACGTCATCATGAATGGCTGTGCTTCCCAACCCGCCTGTGCTGCAAAAGTGGGCAAAGTGGCTACTGCAGGGGTTTATACTGATATTACGAAAGCTGAGTGCACACCAGCTCCCATTTCAGCTTGAATGAATCATCAGCCACCTGACATCCTCCTCACTATTGATCCTTATTAGAGATTGTGTTATATTCTTCCCGTACTAGGTAGCAAGGATATTGCTTCTAAGAAGATAAGAAGAGCCCCACTGAATTAGACCAAAAGCCTAGGGAGATGCCACAAGTTGTTCCCTCTGTGTTTGAATTCTTCTCTAATGTAATTTCCTCCCAAAGAGGACATTGACTGCTGCTTTGTGATGACCAATAAAAACTAGCTAAACAGCAATGCAAGGTAATTTCTCTCTCTGTATACCTCAATCAGTTTTATATAGGGAAATCCATTTCTGGCCAGCTGCATTGATATTCCTAATGACCTTTTTATTACAGTGATGTACCTTCTTGGTTGGCTTTGGGTAGTGCAACCTAAGGCATTGACTATCATTGAATGCAAACTATGGCTTCATAGGGGTCCCTTGAAAGTGGACTGTCTGCACCAATCAGCTGATGGACACTGATAATGAGCCCTTCTGAAGTTGCCATCTGGCTTCATAATGATGGCAAGCGCTGCTATGATTTATTGGGCTCGAAACGTGGGTCATAATATAGAAACAGAATCATGGGGGAAACTGTGGTGACGGAGCCAGCCGTCACAAATGGCGCAGTTTAGCATAAAATAAAGACACAGAGAGCCAGCAATATTTTCAGGATGGTATGAGCAGCTCCTTTCGAACTTCTCTTCTCTCCCGTAACTTTTATTATCCTTTGTTCTCTCCTCTCGCATGGCCGTTTGCCAATGTCTCACATTACCTACATCCGGTCATAGCTTTAACCCACCCATAACCATATAAGGCTATGCACTTAATACACTGCAAGGCACAGACATGCAGGTCACCGAGGTCAGCGAGGCACCAGGTGGCGCTACAAGCCTTTTCCATGACTTCCTGGCTCCCACGCTGTGGAAATCAGATTTGGAATTCCCAGTGAGTTATGCTTCGAAGGAAAACTACATGAAAATGATTTTTAGGTGGTACCTAACACCAAACAAATTGGCAAAGATGTATAAATCAAAATCAAAATTTGCTGGAAATGTAAAGAAACAGAAGGCACATTTTACCATATGTGGGGGAGGTGTAGAGTAGCCAAGGGTTTCTGGGGAATGATTTATAATGAGCTAAAAAAATAATAAAAAAATTCAACGAGACACCACCCCAGAAAAACCCAGAGGCTTTTCTTTTAGGGATAACTGGGACAGATGCACAAAAAAACCCCATATGAACTTATTTTTATATGCCACACCTGCAACAAGGATATATGAGCAAAAATGGCAAGATGAGGCAGTGCCCACTGAATACAGTCGAAACTCGTGGAATATGCTGAATTAGTAAGTCTAAGTAGTAAAATTAGAGATCAAGATGATACTGTGTTCAAGGAAGATTGGAAAATGTTTGCAGATTATTATTACTTAAATGTAAACAAGCTAAAACGCAAGTAGGTTTGGTGTAAGAACAGCAGTAAAATACATGTCTGAGAATGCTTTGGAGGACATAATGTATAGAAGAACTATAATATGCCACGATATTAGAAAATGTGGGGAAACCATGGATGGAGAGAGGGGAAGTCGAATACGAACTGAATGTTAAATGGAAAAAGTTGTATAATTTTTTTTTATTTTCCTTTGAAAAAATCTCTCTATATAAAGAAGCATAATGTTGTCAAGTGATTGACAGATGGGTGGCCCTGCCCAATTGTCACTTGACACCTGGAGGGCCACAGGATTCCCCATCTCTGCTCTAGCAGAACAAGGGGACATTTTTCATGCAAGTTATGATTTATTTGTTTCACTCAAAGAGGGTATCATTCTACCCCTGGGAGGTAGAAATCATTTTTGGATGAAGTTGCAGGTAAGTGATACAGAGGTGTTTAAGCAGAGTCCCCCCTCACGCAGCAGCACACAGGTGGATCAGAATAGGTTCTTCAGCGGCAGAAGCCCCCAAATCCTGAGAAGGCAGCTGATGAAGTCATCATGCTGGCCGTGAGGCTGGCACGCATTCAGCTTTTGTGACGTGAGAGTAAAAGCCAGATACGGTGGTTTCGCCTAGTTTTAAGCCATCACAAAACCCCTTAGTGGCACAGCCCTTCTGAACAACTTTGATGATGACAGTTCCTGGATATGGGAGACAAGATGTATTCAATGAGTCCTGGGTTCCACGAACAACTGCCCTCTCTGCCCAAGTCCCAAGACATTTTCCATCCCTTGTGCTATAAGAATTTGCAGGTGTGGTTTGGCCTATATAATTATCACAGGCTCTCTTTCTATCTCTTACGTTTCACGGCCACTTGACCTCAGTTGCAACAGACTAGCACAACCACACCTCTGGAATCTGTTACCTTATTGATGCGTAGCAAAGGCTAATTAATGAGTCTATTAACAGCAATCCTATACATGTCTGCTCAGAAGAAAGCCTTATTGAGTTCAGTGGGGATTATTCCCAGATGTATTTACAGCATTGCAGCATAACAGTGCAAAAACAAAAACAAAAACAGACCAAAGTAAGTCTATATAAACTTAGCAATGTAGCTGGCTTTAGACTATGTGATCCCCATCTAGCCGTTTTCTGAAACCAAGTGGGTCTTCTGCATCTTTATGGTGAAAATACATCTTTACAAAGTGTATTCTATATAAAAATGTATTCTGTGAACTGTCCTGAGACCTCCGGGTATAGGGCGGTATATAAATTCTAACAACAACAGCAACATGCCAAGTCAGTTGCTGAAGGACCCCTGACACCCCCTTCCAATTCTCATGTATTTTACATATATTACAAGAAGAGATGTCCATATCCACTGAGTCTTTGCTCTGTAATTTACTTAACCTAATGAGTAATGCAGTCCAGTAACCTAATAAGTAAGGAAGGATATCTCAGTGGGTAGAGAATGAGACTCTTGACCTCAGGGTTGTGGGTTTGAGCCCCACGTTGGGTAAAAGATTCCTGCATTCCAGTGGGGTTGGACTAGATGACCCTCATGGTCCCTTCCAACTCTACAGTTCTATGATTCTATGGCTTCTTTAGTCTCAGAGAGTGTATGTGGCATGAGCTCACTGAATAGGACAGATAAATGTTTTGGAGGGGCAGAAATCAGTGGCAAACTGTTCAGAGGGCTATGTAGCACCATGTAGTGTGGACTCCACCAATGTATTTTATGCATATTTTTATGTACATGCAACTGATTCTGTCAGTTGCTTTTCAACCTGCATTTTAGTTTGCCTGAAGAGAATAGATATAGGACATTGACTCTCCTTCAATGGTACATTGTGTATGTGAAATTGGAATTACCATAAGAAACCATCACAGCCATTTCAAGACAGTCGTTCTGTGGTCCAACGCAGTCCACCGTCTCATTGGGATCGCAAACCCCGGAAAGCAAAGAAAAGCAGGCTGGGCACTGCTTCCCATTGGGTTGGTTGATGCGTGGAGGCACTGAAACCAATTAGTGAAAGCCCGTTGGTTGGGAGAGCAAAGAAAGCAAGGACATTGATGCAGAGGAGAACATAGTTTTGAACTAGCAGTCCTCTATTTTACTAGGAAGTTGTAATAGTCCTGGGTCACACACCCACACCACAAATGTCAAGGGCATGGCATGATGGATTCTGAGAAGGTGGCAGAACAGGCGAAGGAATTAATATCCTCATCAACTGCTGATGGTACCACTTTCCCAGAAGCCCCGGTGCATGAGGAATCCATATTGTCAGCATCTCCCCAGCCCAGAGGCATTTGAGCTGCCCGTTCCTCAGAGCCGGAGGGTTCCAGGCAAAAAACCACAGAGAACCCTCAGACCTCCCATTTAGAGTCTACAGGTCTATTGCAGGTAAGGTCCTTTCAACAACTTCTGGAAACAGACACAGGTAGCCACCAGGCTGAGCTACATCACTGTCATAGCATCTGGGCTGAGATTTCCAGACTTTTCTTTCCCCTGCCTCTTTCCCCAGGAAATCACAATACTTACCACTGAACTGGAGCAAATGACAGTCAGTGGAAAACCTGAACTGCTGTTTGCTCCGATTCAGCAGTAAAGATTGTGTTTTCCTGGGGAAAGAGGTGGGGGAAAGAAAGTGCTCAAACATGGACTAGGAAAGTGTGGACCTGCGTCAAGAAAGTGTGGGGCAAGAGCAGAGCACAAGCAAACCTCACATTTTGAAAGCGAAGACACAATTTCTGGAGAGTATGCAAATCCCTATTCCTCCCTTATTCACAAGTGCAAGGGGGAAATTTCTACATCTTCTCCTTCTGATTCTGAGCACAGTTCAAAGTGTTGGTGATGACCTTTAAAGCCCTAAATGGCCTTGGCCCTGTATACCTGAAGGAGCATCTCCAGCCCCATCATTCAGCCCAGACACTGAGGACCTCCTGGCGGATCCTTTACGGCAAGAAAGGAAGCTACAGGGAACCAGACAGAGGGCTTTCCCAGTAAATGTAAAGGAGATGAGGAACTAAATAACCTTTAGAAGACACCTGAAGGCAGCCCCGTATAGGGAAGTTTTAAAAAAATTAATGTTTTATTATGTTTTTATATATGTTGGAAGCTACCCAGAGAGGCTGGGGCAACCCGGTCTGATGGGCAGGGTACAAATAAAGTGACATTGTTATTGTTCTGTCACATTGTCTTATATATGGCTTGGTTTGTTCTCTTACCTTCTGTCTCTGAAGTGCTGACCACTACCATGAGCCTGAATTCATGCCCCTAAATGTTAGAAACAGGCGTGTGTGTAGAACAATTTCAAAGGGAGGCTCCACTGTGAAACTTCTTCATCAAGAGGCACAATTCATTTCACGTCATTCTGAATGGAGACAATTGTTTCCTATCCTGTACTGGTGTTAATTAACCCCAAACTACCAAGTTGATAGTTTTATCACCTTTGTGAAGGATTATTATGCTTGTTTTGTATATGTTCCAGCTCTAACTGAATTGCCAACACCTTTACCTATACTTCATGCATTCATTTCCCTCTGACCTCCCTGTTTATTATCCCCATCATATGTTAAGAGTAGCACAAGTTGAGTGCTTAATGTGTACAACGACCAGACATTGTGCATATTCACCAGGCCACCTCACCCTTCACCTCAGGAAGTACAATTTCTTGGGCTAGCCCTGGTGAAGTATGCCTTACCTTGAGGAGTTGCAGTTTTGCAGGCCTCCCCTACACAGCAAGTGATTCCTGTCCTTAGTTCTTGCCCTTGCCCAAAGTTGAGGAGTTGTGTTCTGTCTTTGCAGATGTTGGAGGATTCACAGCTTTTAGCTATTATCTGAGCTTGCATTCCACCTGCAGGGGTGGAATGAAGGATGAAGGGTTAGGTTTTGCCTCTGCTAGTTTCCTTAGCCAGAAAATCCCAAATCCAGTTCTAATTTTAAGAGAAGATATAAAATTCTCCTATATTTAATGCATTCACTACAACCATTTACAAGGCTCATTTCCAAGCTCAAGAGGGCTTAAAACCACAGCTAAAACAATTTAAGAACCAAAAAATAGGGGATATAGCTATCGTGATTAGGAACCATTGTTAGATGAGGATAAGGCTATCATTCACTGCTAGCCATAGTGGCTATGCCTCTGAGAGCCAGCTGCCAGATGCCAGGAATCAGAAATGAGAAATGTGTTACTGCATTGAGGTTCTGATTGCAAACTTTCTATGGGCATTTGGTTGGCAATGGTGAGAACAGAGTGCTAGATAAGATGGTCTTTTGGCCTGATCTGATAGTGCTCTACTTATGTTCTTTTTTCTCCCTATAATATTTTTATTAAAGCTTTTTCATAATACAATGCAATTAAAGAAACTAATCTAAAGAAAAAACAACATCAGAGAAAGAAAGAGATAAGAAAATGCAGAGTCCTCTCTCAAAGGTAGTACTTTTCTCACACTGAAAATGGTGGACCCTTCCAGCTCTAACTGGGGAGCTTTCCTTTCTTCTCCCAGTCTCTCACGTGAGGAAGTCCTTCCTTCTTTGCCTCTTACTCAAGGTCCTTCCATCCAGCCATCTGCCACCTTCATGTGTGAGTACCGTATTTTTCGCCCTATAGGACGCACTTTTCCCCCTCCAAAAATGAAGGGGAAATGTGTGTGCATCCAATGGGGCGAATGCAGGCTTTCGCTGAAGCCTGGAGAGCGAGATGTGTTGGTGCGCACCGACCCCTCTCGCTCTCCAGGCTTCAGGAAGCTCTGCGCAACCCTCGGGAGACCAGCGCGAAGTCGCGCCGGGCTCCCGAGTGCTGCGCAGAGCTGCCTGCAGTCCTGGGCTTCGCGCAACTCTGCACAACCCTAGGGAGCCCGGCGCGAAGTTGCGCCGGTCTCCCAAGGGTTGCACAGAGCTGCCTGCATTCCTAAGCCTGGGGCTTGCTGAAGAGCGCATCCGGGCTTTGCACAGCTCTCCACAAGCTTGGGGAGACCAACACGACTTCCCGCCGGGCTCCCTAGGCTTGCGGATAGCAGGCTGTTCTCGGGGCTGGGGTCGGGGGAAGCTCGGGCTTCCCCCGCGCCAGCCCCGCGCCTGGGGGGGAAATAATTTTTTTTCTTTATTCCCCCCCCAAAAAACTAGGTGTGTCCTATGGGGCGGTGCACCCTATGGGGCGAAAAATACGGTAATCCTTGGACCCCAATAATGGCCCAGAGCACAGGATACCAACAGAAAGCAAAACAAAAGGAGAGACAGAAGAAATAAGATAAAAAGAAGGGGGGAAAGAAGAAGAAAAGAATAGAAAGGGGAAAGGAGAAAGGAAAAACAGAGAAAAATAAAAGGACTTCCTATTTTCCATCTTTCACTTGCATAAAAGAAATTATTCACTCTAGCCTGACATTCATCTGTTCTACTTTCTTAATGCTTGCCAGGGGGATAAAAGCTTCACACAATTAAAAAAAAAAGCTGCCACATGAAAGATTATTTGCTTTTGGAATTGAACCGTATGACTTGCCACCTTTGGTACTGCTGCTGCTGAGTAAATATAGTGTTGCTTAAGCTATTCACAGGCTCAGATTTGCCGTCCGTTTCACTCACCTACAGTGGTTTCAGATACAGAGATGGCGCAGGTGTCATTGTCACAGGTCTCCATGGGGCCAGAACAGCTGTTGCCACTGCCCGTACAAACTTCACACTTCAAAGAAGCACCTGGAAAAGGGCCAACAGTTCACACCATTCAGGAGGGTAGAAGCAAATTCAGAAGTGCAACCTCACATTTACGCCATTCTAAGAATGTGCAACCTTCTATGTTTATACAATAATCTTATAACAATGCAACAATTTTTATTTTAGGGACCCATTACAAGGATCAATGCAGATCTCCAGGTGTTCCCTTTCAGCTGTGTGTACTGTTTTCTCTGACATCCATGGACAGATGATTTGGAGTGATCCTGTATCTTTTTTTTAATAGTGACTTAAGTGGTATTGAAGTTGCACTGTATGTAACAGAACTTGCACACCATTCTCTTGAAATTGAAGCACCAATGCTTAGCTTTGGAGTGGACAGAACAACTCCTCTTCAGTTTTCTTCCCATGTGCCTTCTCCAGAGTGACCATAGGAGCCTGTCCTCAGTGACTGACAGAATAGAGACAGAATAGAGCAGGACTATTGCTTTCCTTGATCAGGATACTATACTTGATGCAGCCTAGAATAACATTAGTTTTTTTGCTGCTGTATCACACGGCTGATTTGTGTTAAGCTTGTGGTCCACCAAGACTCCTAGACCCTTTTCACGTGTACAAGTAAGCCAGGTGTCCCCCATCTTATACCTATGCAGCAAGTTCTTCCTGTCTATATACAGAACCTTACATTTGTCCCTATTGCAATTCATTTTGCTAGTTTGGACCCAGTTCTCCAATCTCCTAAGGAAATTTTGAATCCTGATTCTATCTTCTGCGTCATTAGCTACCAGTTTGGTGTCATCTGCAAATTTGATGAGCATCCCCTCAATTCCTTCATCCAAGTTGTTTATAAGGATGTTAAACAACAATGGGCTGAAGACAGACCCCTGTGGCACCTCACCTGTCACTTTTCCCCAGGATGATGAGGAACCATTTAATGAGCACTCTTTGGGTTCAGTCAGTCAACCAGCTACAAATCCACCTAACAGTTTCTTCATCCAGTCCACATTTCACCAGCTACCTGCCAGTGGAAGGGCAACAAGGAGGAACAGCCACCGAGAAGGCCCTCTCCTGAGTTCCTACCAAGCATGACCTTCCACTTGCATAAAACATCTCCTGTTTGAACTGGTCCTACCCCCTCTTTGAAGGGGACCAGACTCAATTGTGGGGCTTGCATCAACATCTCCAATACTACAGTGACCTCCCTCTTGGTTGGAAGCTGGTGGGAAAGGGTCTAGCACTAGGATGGAGTGTGTGGTCCTTCAGCCTCTTATCAGCCTGAGCCAGCATGGCTGAAGAACCTCAGGTTTCTACCCCTGCATTATGTAAAATTCTCCCTTCCCCATCACACAGGAGCTATACTGGTTCCCATAACAGTGTTACACAGATGGCATGACAACGGGAACGTTCCTGACCTTCAGGGATGGGAAAGAAATTTGCTTCAGCTCACTTTAAATAAAAATAAAATAAAATGCAAGCCTTCTTCATTCATCACAATACACAAACTGAAACAGATATCCTTCAACATTTGCACATCTCCAAAGGTTGCGATGCAGTTTCCAAAGAGTGCATGCAAAAATGCAAGCATAAATATGGAAGAAACTGAAATGGACACATTCAGAACTTGGGAAAAACTGAAATCGACAGATTCTCCCATCCCTACTTACCTATAGTCACAAGCAGAAAGCCAATGGCGAGTCCCAGCAGGAACTTCATGGTGATGCCAAATGCTGCTAAGTAGCTTCAGACAGAAACTGCCCCTGTAATGTAATTTGTTAGGTGGTGAAGTGTTCCAAATTTAACAAGCTTGGGGTGGGGGCAGGCTGGGGAGCACATTCTCAAGTTACATATCTCTGAATCTCAAAAATGATATCTGCTCTCTGTCATGAAATGTGCTAGGTGACCTAGGGACAGTCACCTTCTCTCAGCCTAACCTACCTCACAGCATTGATGAATGGGGAAAATTGGGGTGGGGAGAGATTGTGCACCTCCTTGTGCTCCTCTGGTGAATGTCATGGTACACATGTGATTCAGAAACAATAATATCAAAGCATGTCCCTTTCATTACAGAGGGGAAAAACAGAGGGGGTTTTTTTATCCACAGAAGGCTGCATGACTTATCCAAATTCCACCAGATACAGAAGTAACATTTATTTATTTATTTATTTATTTACGGCTATTAGCCCATAAACAGAAGTAACATAAAAGCATAAGAAGAACATCAGGTTTCAAAGGCACAGCTAGTCCAGCATCCTGATCTCGCTGTTAGATATTTACAATGCCTGAACATGGCTAAATTAGATCAAACTGGGCAGGTGACCTAGGGCTGTGTTCAACTAAGCATAGACACATTGAAATCAATGAACCTACATTTGCCATGCCCATTAACCTCAATGGGTCTACTCAGAGTAGGACCAACATTGAATACGGCCTCCAGACTCCAAGGTTCCATTCTACTTGGATGCTAGCTTAAATACAATTTTCATAAGCTTAAGTTCAAGGATTGGAGTAGGAACATATCAGAGGATGATGGTGGCCTTACCAAGAGCTCTCAGGTGTTGTCAATATGGTGTCTGTAGGAAGAGGAAGAAAAGACAGGCTTGGGATGTTTTCCTCTCTGTTTTCATTAGTTGCTCTCTTTATAAACAAGAATTTGAGGACGTATTTCCTAAGCTCCTCCTCCTATTACAGATTTCTGAATCCCATTCCTTCAGTTTCTGGGCCAGTGTCCTTTCATTTCCCTATTTTGGTAGTGCTGAGAATCAATTAAAAAAACTTGTAGCCCAATCCTTCCTTTACCCATTCAGCATCTGAAGTAAACTTGCTTCTGAAAGCCATCTAAGCTACAGGTAGCAATGGATGCATCGGCCAATTTCAGTATCTCTTCTTTTCTTTTCTTTCATTCTAAAGGTCAGTTTTCTAAATTTTCAGCTCTTTTTTTAAAAAAGAAGTCCTCATGAACCTATATCAACATTTTAGTGCAAATTTCTCCCCAAATACACGTTTGTATTTGCTTAACACACATTTTTTTGCAAAGCCTTGTTCCACAATATGATGCACTTCTGCTTGCTTTTAATCATTTACTGAACTCCTTAATTGGGACGCAGGTGGCACAAGAGCCTAGGACTTGCTGATCAGAAGTTTGGTGGTTCGAATCCCTGTGACGGGGTGAGCTCCCATTGCTCGGTCCCTGCTCCTGCCAACCTAGCAGTTCGAAAGCATGTCAAAGTGCAAGTAGATAAATAGGTACTGCTCCGGTGGGAAGGTAAACAGCGTTTCTGTGCGCTGCTTTGGTTCACCAGAAGTGGCTTAGTCATGCTGGCCACATGACCCGGAAGCTGTACGCCGGCTCCCTCGGCCCATAAAGCGAGATGAGCGCCGCAACCCCAGAGTCGTCCGCTACTGGACCTAATGGCCAGGGGTCCCTTTACCTTTACCTAATTTTGTTATATTTCAATAAATGGAACCTTTCCTCCTATCCAATAAATTGTGTTGAGACTTCTTTCAGGGTATGGGGGCAATTTGGGTTTCTGTGTTTTCTGCTATAGACTTCAGTTTTTCAGACCATATTTTTTTAACCCACCTCATGACTCGGATAGGAGCTTCAGTGTTGCGCAATGAGAGAGAATAAGGAAATGAATTATGTAAAGGCATTTTTTATTTATTTTTTGCCAATTTAAGTAGACCTCATCCAGATGCAGGGTCAGCACTGGTTGTCCTCAACAAAAATAGATTTGTTTTCAAGTATCTTACTTCCTCTTCTGATTTTCTTTTTAAATAGTTAGAACATTAGATGAACCTGCTGGGTCAGGTCAGTAATGGCCAGGCAGGTCAAGCATCCCATTCTCTTCTCTGCCTTCCTGCAATTCCCAGCAATTGACCCTCAGAGGCATATCACCTCTGACAGGGGAGGTAGAACATAGCCATTGTGGCTGGTAGGCATTGGTAGCCATGCCCTCCATGGTTGTGCATGAAGGAAGACTTTGCAGGTCTTGGGAGAGGCCATGTGCCTCAAGCAGGGAAGGGAACTTAAGAACACAGGCCATTGGTTCCTCTAGTTCAGGGACGTCCAACTCCGAAGAGACTGTGATCTACTCAAAGAATAAAAAACTGGCAGTGATCTATAACTTTTTTGAAGAGGGAGAAGGGGCAAAAGTTGCTCAACAAAAGATCACTAAGGAAAGAATGTCTTCTGTTCTAGCAATCAGGTGGGAATGGAGGGCAGGTCAAGAGGGAGGAGCAGGATGCTCTTGTGACACTGCAAAGGAAAAGGAGCCAGAAATCGACCCCGATCGACCAGAACCTCCCGGGGATTGACCAATCGATCCCGACTGACCTGTTACACATTCCTGCTCTAGTTTAATGTGTTCTTCACTGATCACAAAGCAAATGCTCTACCACTTAGTTGAGGAACTTCCAGATTGGGCAGGGTAAGTCCAGCATTTTTAAAAATTTTATTTATTTATTTGGTTTTTCAGATTAAAATTTTACAGTCACATAGCCAACATACAACATAAAAACAAGATTCCATGGAATCTCTTGGACTTCCCTCCTCCCCTTTGCCGGTCCTATTGTTAATCATTTCCTCCTGCATCTTTTATGATAATGCAAATCTTTTACCTCTCCATTGTGTCCAAATTTCACCATTAAACTACAAGTGATATTCCAATTCTACTTACGATTTTAACTGTTTACAATGGTTTTTAAGATAAGTTATAAATTTTCCCCATTCCTTATTAAAATTTTGGTCTTCCTGATTTCTGATTCTTCCTGTCATTTTTGCCATTTCGGGATAATCCATCAACTTAGTCTGCCATTCTTCTCTGGTCGGGACTTTACCTTCTTTCCATCTCTGGACCAACAACATCTGTGCAGCTGTGATTGCATACATAGTCTTTTCTGCTCCATTTGGATTTCGGCACCTAAAAGGAAGGCTCCGGGTTTTTATTTAGAAAAGGTTATTTTAAACATATTTTTCAACTCATTATATACAGTAAAGGTAAAGGTAAAGGGACCCCTGACCCTTAAGTCCAGTCGCGAATGACTCTGGGGTTGCGGCGCTCATCTCGCTTTACTGGCCGAGGGAGCCAGCGTACAGCTTCTGGGTCATATGGCCAGCATGACTAAGCCTCTTCTGGTGAACCAGAGCAGAGCATGGAAACGCTGTTTACCTTCCCGCTGGAGCGGTACCTATTTATCTACTTGCACTTTGACGTGCTTTCAGACTGCTAGGTTGGCAGGAGCAGGGACCAAACAGCGGGAGCTCACTCCATCGCGGGGATTCGAACTGCTGACCTTCTGATCGGCAAGCCCAAGGCTCAGTGGTTTAGACCTCAGCGCCACCCGCATCTCATCCCTCAAAATTTCCACCACATATGATAAAAAGTGCCTTCTTTTTTCTTACATTTCCAGCATACATTTGACCCTGTTTTATACATTTTTGCTAGCATAAGGCAGTCTTCAACTCACCCAGCTTTAGTTGTGTATACCACAGCCCAGAAAATAAACTTGGTGCTGGAGGGCTGGCTTTCTCCACTGGGCCTCAAACTTGAGATCATTGCTGCAGACAATGCCAGCAACATTATAGGCACATGTTAAAAGCTGCCTGCTATCTTCTAAATGTGCTAATGCCATCGTGCTAGCAACCATTGATAGACTTATCCTCTATGAATTTGTGCAATTCTCTTTTAAAGCCATTTAAATTGGTGGCTATCACTGCCTCCTGTCGGAGTGAGTGCCATAGTTCAGCTATGTGCATTGTGAAGGACTTTATTTTGTCCTAAAGTTTCTGTCATTCAGCTTTCAAGACCACTCATGTACCCCACAAGCCCCAGCAGATCATTCTTTGCGAATCAAAATCCCATTTTATTGCTCTGTTCTTTTTCTGTTGGCAACGCTTCCTGGAAGCAAGAAAACTACTTGCTCAGTAATTTCACTGAATTTCACTGTCAGCAATTTGGTTATTTTTTTCCTGCTTGGTGTTTTGTTCCATACAGTACAATTTTTGTACGTGAGAGCCACAGACTTTCTCATATCATGTTCACCACTTCCCCATTATCTCCCCCCCCCCCACTTTTTGGTGGTGTGTGTGTGTGTTGCACATTTAGTACAATCAATGAACATTATCAGTCATATAGACTCAGATATTTTGTTTGCTACTGGGTTAGGGGCAAAAAGGTGTCTGGAATTACTTCAGGCTAACAGAGGAATAGGTTGCACAGTTTCAAGCTTCCTGCCTTCAAAAACATAATTGTGAAAACTGCTTGGAGATGTATTTATTTTCAACTAAGCGGTCTATACATTTTGTTAAATAAAGATTGTTCAGATTTTTTTTATTGACAAAAAAACCAGGATCATATAAAGCTTTTTTTTTTTCATTCCAGAAGCTATTGTTCTTGAAACCCTGGCAGCACTCACTCCAAACATTTGATGCACTATGATACCACTTTGAACAGTCACAGCTTCCCACAAAGAATCGTGGGAGCTGAAGTTTGTTAAGGGTGCTAAGAGTTGTCAGGTGACCTCCTATTCCCCTCCCAGAGCTACAATTTGCAGAGTTCCCTGTGAGGAGGGATTGATTGTTAAATTGCTGTTCCCCGCCTTGACTTTCTGAAATAATGTGAGAACAGAAACACAGTCATTCTTTGAAATTTTCACTTTACCAAATTTTGTGATGCAGTTCTTCAATCAAACGATGTTTACAAAATTGCAGAAAGTGAGCATCAGAATGAATCTATTAGTGAAAATTAATAAATTAGTGATAATCACATGCAGAAATGCATTGTATTCGGGGGGGGGGTGCTTGCAAAATTTTGCACATTAGTCCAAAATGCATACAAAAAGATGTTTATAAGGAGAAATTTGCACAAAGGTGCTGGAGATTTTTCACCAGGATTTAAAAATAGTAATAACAAATGGGTGCAATATGCGGAGAACTGAACAGAAGATTGGAAAAATGAGAAATCGAGAGAACCTCAATGGACACATCTATCCATTTCTACCTATACTGTAGGGTGGGCTGAATGCATCAGAGCATACATGATGCCTATAATCATTATTAACCTACGGTAGCTTTGAAATAAAGGTACCTATTAAGTCTTCTTCCTGTGTACACAAGGAGGAGCCAGAGCTTAATGCTGGAGTACATGAGGTTACTGCTTCAACCTGTAGCTAAAGCAGGACACTCTGTGGTCTTCCACACATCACTGAGCACCAACTCCCATTGTCCTTGCCCACTGGTCATGATCTTTAGGGCTGACCATCATCTCATTTACAGACAACCTTTTTGTGCATAGCATAGAAACACAATGCGAAACCAAAAGGTTCCGCCATTTGTAAGGCAGTAGTGCAACTCTATTCAGTACTGATGATATCAGGCAAATCCTGATGTATGCAAGATGATTGTTGATTGTCATACAACCTCCCCACAAGTAAATTAGAATGGATGCTCCAAAATGGTTTAATGGTCCATCCCTCTTCCCAGGAAATTCTGGAAGTTGCAGCTCTGTTTGGGGGAATGGAGCCTCCTAGCTACTCTCAAAACCTTTAATAAACTACAGCTCCCATAATTCCTTGTGGGAAGTCACTACTGTTTAAAGTGGTATCATAGTGCTTTAAATGTATGCT